GAGAGAGAAATGAAGGGGAGGGCAATTTAGTCTTTTGGGGGGGCGGTAATAATCGAAAAGGGGGCGGTGTTTAGCGTTTCACTAACTCTTTTTCATTTGGAAAAACAATTAAACACAAAGCACATCAGAAACAAGAACTATTCTATTGCATTTAAAAAAAAAGAAAAAAGAAAAGAAAAAATGACAAACTTACACACACATACAAACCAATTGTAGTGGAAAAAACAGGGAAGTGTTTGAAAATACAAAAGCCAGAACAAAAAATGGTAGTAAAATTAAATTACAAATAAAAAAAAGGCTCGTTTAATTCACATAAATCAATTCTTTTCTCTGCTCTCTCATATCTTCATAAAACCTCTGTATAAACCTCTCAGCCCTCTCATCCACCGATTCATCATCATCCCACGAACCAATCTCGGCCGTCCATTCTCGGTCTCCGACAAGATCGGCTTGGACCTCGAAACCCATCTCCAAGCAATACATCTTATTATCCTTCTCTTCACCTCCAAAACTGCCCAAGCATTTGGAAAACATTGAAAAATCAGGGTACAACTTTTTAAAACTGGCTCTGCCTATATTCTTCCTCTGAAACCCAAACAGAGGCGTGCTCGAAGCCGAAAACTCGTATTCTTCGGCGTAATTGTAGTAGTGATAATGGTTGTATTGCTTGAGGAGCTTCATTTTTTTCACCCTTTTCATTTTCTTGAGAAATATAAGGTAATGTGGGGTGATGGGTTTCTTTAGTTTGGCCAAGAAAATGGAGATTTTTAGCATGTTGGTGAGTTTTTTATGAAGGTATGAGCTTTTCTTGGGCATTTTTTGTGGGCTTTTTTTATTTCCTTCAAATTGAAAAAATATATATATATATATATATGTATATATATATTGTATTTTTTTGTGAAGCTATATTATTTGAAATTTTTGGGGCACATTTTATGGGTGCAAAAATGGGGTATTAGGTTTTGGAAGGATATGTGGAGTGGAAGAGAGCTAGGCTGTAAAAAGGCTAAGGTCGGTGCACTTATTCTATGGGGAGCGGCATGTAACCGTTGGCACCAAAAAGCTAAGTTCAAATCTCAAATGAAATTTCTTTTAATTTATTATTATTATTATTATTATTATTATTATTATTATTATTATTATTATTATTATTATTATTATTATTATTATTATTATTATTATTACTGCTGCAACACATAGAAGAAAAAAAAAATAATTGATATTATTTATCTGATTTAATTGTATTTGTAGTTAGATGTATGTAAATCAACCCTAAAAATTGTTACTATTAATGTTGAAATCTTCCTTTATCAACCACTAGTACGAATGTACATTACTCGTATATTACATGGTTGTTTGTTAATAAAATTATGTTTAAAATTAAAATTAATAAAAGGTTTTAATTTTCAAATATTTTCTTAAAAAAAATATTTATATTTAAAACGACACTCGTTAGTTATACGACTTAACATCTTATATATAATATATTTTTAACTTATATCATATAACTAATTTGTAGTAAAATTAATTTAAATAATTTTTTCCAAATAATATTAATATAGAATTTAGTTATTATTATAAAACTAAATATAATTATTTGCCTAATTTTATATACAGTAGAAATGTCAGATCGAATCTCATCAAGATATGATGAATTTGATATATTATATATAAAAAATTGATAATAAATAAATAAAAAAAAAAGTTATTAGCTTTTAAATATATTTATAATTTGTTTTAGTAAGTTCTTATAATTATAAAAGAAAGATGAAGAAAAAAGAAAGATTGAATAAAAAAATATGTCTTGTAAACTTAGAATAGAAAAAAATATTAACATGTAATTAATTCATTTAAAATTATAATAAATATCCAGATATATATAAGAGGTATTATATATAAATTTGACAATATAAGAGGTATTATAATAAATATGTCTTGGATTGGAAATTTACCCAATAGAATTTCGAAGCGTGCAAGTCTGTCGTTTAGACTCAACGCATTCAAGAATTATATATAAGAGGTATTAGATCTCTGTATAAATTCAATTTTAATTCAATATTAGTTCGATTGTACAATAGACTATTCCTCCCTTGATCTTGGGGTGGAGAGTCCTTGCTGCCACTCATACCTCGGTCCATCACAACTGACATGAACCAACAACTTCTACAGCCTTTTGAAGTAGATGAGATCAAATTTGCACTTTTCAGCCTCCATCCTGAGAAATCATCTGGTGAAGATGGTATGACAACCTTCTTTTACCAACACTTTTGGAGTTTAATTCATTCTGACTTAGTGAAAGCAGTTCAAAGTTATTTTTACTCTGGCGTGATTTTACAATATCGGAACCATATATTGATTACTTTTGTCCCTAAGTACCAGGCTCCTTTATCACTCTATCAGTATAGACCTATAGACCCATATCCTTATTCAGTGTAGTTTACAAAGTGCTTTCCAAATTACTAGCTAAAAGGTTAAAAGTCTGCCTTAGTTCTTGCATTAGTGATTGTCAATCAGCATTCATTCAGAATAGACAATTGCTTGATAATGTAATTCTGGCACAAGAGGTGTTCCACTACCTTAACATACATAGATCTGGGAAAAATTACTTTATGGCTTTAAAACTAGATCTTATGAAAGCATTTGACAGAGTTGAGTGGGTTTGCATTGAAAAAGTTATGATCCAAATGGGCTTCAGTCTTGTTTTTGTGAAATTGCTCATGGTGTGTGTCTCTACTACTACCTTCTATATCTGTACTAATGGAGCTGTGAGTGGTATTATCTATCCTTCAAGAGGAATCAGACAGTGGGATCCTCTATCTTCCTATTTGTTTATCATTGTCACTGAACTCTTACTACTCTAATCACTGACTCATTGCACAGAGGAAATTTGATTAGGCTAAAGCTCTCTAGAAATGGACCAACTTTGTCTCATCTTCTTTCTGCAGATGATGCACTGTTCTTTTGCAAAGCAGAACTTAGCCAAGCAAATGAATTAATGTCTCTGCTGGAGAATTATAGAACGTTCACATGTCAAAGAGTGAACCTCCAGAAGTTCTCTTCTTTCTTCAGCAAGAACACCCACTCCCACATTCAGAACCAGATTTGTGCTGCAATGCAAGGCATCCAACTCCACACCTCCACAAGATATTTGGGTCTACCTCTGGGCATAGGCGGGTCAAAATTAATGGTATTCTTTTATGTTCTTAATTTTGTAATGTCCAAACTTTGGAGCTGGAAGAAGAAAATGATTTCAATAGCTGGGAAGGAAGTTCTCGTTAAGGCACTCCTTAATGCACTACCAGTGTTTACAATGTCATGCTTTAAACTTTCAGTGTCAGTTTTCAAAGCTATATCTAGCCTTAGTGCTCAGTTCTGGTGGTGCAAAGGGGATTCCAAAGAGAGGGGCATCCATTGAAAAGCTTGGTAATTCTTATCTACCAAATGAAGATGGGGGCATTGGACTCAAAGATATGAGCATTTTTAACCAGGCTATTATTTGTAAGCAGTTATAAAGACTTGTCACACAGCCTGACCTTCTGGTGAATAGGCTGCTAAAGGACAAATACTACCCTAACTGTTCCATTTTTTAAGCTACTAAGTCTCAGAATGGATCCTGGATATGTCACACATGACTGGATTGCTTGCCTATTCTTGCCAAGGGTCACATAACAGAAATCAGAAATGGAGCAAACACAAAGATTAATGACTTAAACTGGGTTCTCTCTCTACCTCACTCTAAGCCTAAATTGTTGGCAATAACCCAAGGTCATATTATTTGGGTTAAGGAATTGATGCAGAATAATGGGTTTGAGTGTAATACCTGGCTGGTGAGACAGGTCTTCAATGAAGAGGACAACCAAGCCATCATAAGCATAAAGACTCTGAACCCAACAAAAAATGATAGACTATATTGGTGTCTGGACAAGAAAGGGTTTTTTTACTCTCCTATACTTATTCCTACCTGATTAAACAAAAAATTATGTTTCTTGATGTCCGAGTTGTGAGAGCCCAAATGCAGTCACAAAAGCTAGGCTAAGGGGTTGGAATCTTAAAATAAACGGGACCATCAAGTACTTTCTATAGAAGTGCTTATCTGGCACTCTCCCAGTCAACACAAACCTGCACAAAAGAGGGCTCACAGTTGATATTCTCTGCCATTGTTGTGGTGAAATCCCAAAAACAATTGAACATGTATTCTTCCATTGCACAAGGGCTAACCAGTTGTGTTCAATGGGATAGAGTGAGTACAGAGGGCTGCACTTTCATATCTTGGTGGTGGCATTTATGCTCTGTTGACAAGACTCCAGTAGCTGAAGATAGAATCCAGCTTACAACATACCTCTTTTGGCGGTTATGAAAGAGAATGAATTTTTGGATGTTTGAGCAAGTCAGAATGCCAGTTAAAGTGATTATCAGAAGGGCTCATTAGGACAAGCTGAAATTTAGGGCTTTGTTAATTTTTGCTTTGGTCTGTTCAGTTTTCTTCAGGTTTTGTAGTCTTTCTATTCTTTCTTTGTTTTCTTTAGTGTGTTTGATGGAGTTGGTATGCATGCTAGGTAGTTAGTGTAGTGGTCTTGTAACCCTTCTTCTATTGTTGCTTTAGGTTTGTGTTGGTTCTAGGCCGCTTTGAAGCGTATCCTCCCATTTTTGTATTTGGCTAGTATAGTCCTTAGTGTTATTCGGCTAGGTGGTCTCTGGTTGTATTAGAACATTATTCTCCTTTGAGTTTAATATATTGCCTCTATCGTTCCGAAAAAAAAAACAACATTCGTTTATGTGTACATGCACAAATACAAATAAAATTATTTCATATGTTATTTATGTATGCATGTAATATTTTATAAATATAAGTTAGATAATGAGCATATCACCATTTATAGTTCAACATTAGTAAAAATGACCGATATAAATATACACGAACTGATTTACATATTAATCTTTATATTGATCGGTATAATAATATTTTTGCAAGCTTGGCTAATTATGACAATTAATTAGATAAAAATATTTAAATAATTATTATAGCAATCATGTACGGAATTTTATGTGTTAGGTTATGCCGTGGAAAATAATTAACTAAATTAATAAAAAAAACATACTTAATGATCTAAAAAAGAAATAATATTTTACATAAATAATTTTAAAAAAGTTTTAGAATAAAATATTATTTAATGTGAAATTATAATTAGTTAGTAGTAGCTATCATGTAATAAAGTAAATAAAAATGCATAATATACCATAAAAGAGTAGAAAAACAAAAAGAGTTATCATAATTTTTTTCAACAATTATAAACATATATATATATATGTAAATACAATTCAAAAAATAAAAAAAAATGAAATCCGCGAATAAAAAATAAAGAAAAATATTTTTAAAAATGTTATGGCCCAATTCTAATCACACCGAGACGGAGTCAAAGACATTGCCATTAAGCTTCGAACGGGTGAGGCGACATTTATTAATTGTTTCACAACCACACACAAGGAAAACTTTGTATAATCACACTCCTTCGACTTCAATGCAATATAGAAATGCAGGCTACTATCATCATCCACACTCATAGGTGGATATTCATCCTTCACTTGATACATATCTTCTCCAGATCATCTGAATACGCGTTTATCTTCAGTTTATAAAAAATAATATCTCAAAGATGATTGTAGTTGCATAATTCACTAAA